AATGGATAAGATATCTGTTAATTTTATGATACTCGAACTCAAACTTGATTAATAAAGTAGGTATCTGAACCTTGTAATTATTCGAATATTTTTTAAATTTATTACCCTAACATGAACCCTAATACATACTCACTACCCAATAATTACCTAAACTCATTTAAAAACCCAATTATGTAAAAAAATTATAGAAATGCTCTTCATGGGTAGTTGATTACTCAAACCCGAATCCATACTTGTATCTATATGCAATAATATTTTTATCCATATTCCATATAATTCACTAATAATTAAATTTATAAAAGCACACAGATAATAAAATATAAATTTAAATAATCAAAAACAAATATCTCAAATGTCAACTTAAGTAACTAAAAGCAAATATCCAAACAACAACTTAAATAACACTACAAGTTTAATTAACTATATGGGTTTGTCTTTAATTATATGAAATTTTAAAAAATAGATTCTTAAACTATTCTAATCTCATTACTTCTTTTTAAGGATATATTTTATAAGTTTATATAAACAAAGATATATATATTATAATTAACAATTTTATAAGTTATAATTTTTGTAACGGTAATACAAAATAGAAAGTAAATATGTTTATACTTAAAGTATATATATTAAAATATATATAATAATAATTACATTCTTTATAAATTAACACAATATATAAAATATATATTAAAAGATATTACAAGTGAATTAATAATTATAATTTTATAAATTAATTTAATTAATAATATAAATTTATCTTTAATTACATAAAATTAAAAAATATATATAATCAGATTCAAGTATCGAGTACTTAAAAGGTGGTATCCGAACTTGATAAAATAGTGAAATTACTATCTAAATCTAATTATAAAATACCATAATCTTCTATAATTAGATCAAATACCTACAGTTATTGTGTAATAGAGTACCTATTGTCTAGTTTTAATTGGATTTATTTTCCTTCTATTTAATCTCTCCGTTGTTGAATCACAAAGGACAAAACAAAGATTGGACTTTTGGTCTAAAGAAAAAGCTTTCTTTTTGTTTTTACTTTCTGTCCTTTCCTATATTTCTTAGCTCCAATATGTTAAAGACCCAATAGGCCCAATCAACCTTTCAGGAGCCCATTAAAAACGAAGAGGAAATGTTAGGGTTTAGGGTTTCCTATATAAAGTGATCACACCTCCTTCTTCATCCCCAGTTCCGCTTCTTCCTTCTCCACCCTTTTCATTTAGCTACGAGAAGCCAACGACGCTATGGTTCACGTCAGTTTCTATCGCAACTGTAAGGTTTTTTTTTTTCCAATCTTTAGTTTCAACAGAATGTGTAGACAAAGATTTTGTTTTTCTCAATTTTTTTCGTTTTTAATTGTTTATTGTTTTTGGTTCTCTCGAATGGGTACTTTGTTTGGCTGCTACAATATTTTTATTTTCATTTTTAGCCAATCGTGTAGCTGGGTTTATTTTGTTTAATATAGTTAAGAATGTTAGAAATTATCTTTAGCTTTGATTTTGCTGTATTTTTAGTTATTAGTGGCTTTGATCTATTTGTTACTTGTTGATTTACTTAATTGGGACGATATTTGGTAAATCAGAGAGCATTAGGCTTAACCTTTTGAAAGATTCCAACTTTGAGGCCCGGGGTTTAAATCTCGGAGATGGCTTGGTGGGAGAGTGTTCCTTTCAGTTTAGTCGCTCACATAGACACATGCACCAAAAAAATAGTATAATTGGTTGATTAGTATCATGGTAGTAGTGAATCCTGATTGATAAAAATACTTGTTTAGTTTTATGGGTTTTTGCCTCTTTGTTGAGTTGGCTGCTAAAATCAAAAGAATCAAGCTGTGTAATTGTTTTATACTCATTTCAGGTTAGGTTACTGGTCTCTGACTTCCCAACTATTTGAAGTAGAGTAATAGTGCATTATTATTATTGGTTATTTATTGGTGAAATTAATGTGTGGGTGTAGATGGGAAGACCTTTAAGAAGCCAAGGCGTCCATATGAGAAGGAGCGTTTGGATGCTGAGTTGAGGCTTGTAGGAGAGTATGGGCTCCGATGTAAGAGGGAGTTGTGGAGGGTTCAGTATGCATTGAGCCGTATCCGAAATGCAGCAAGGGATCTTCTCACTCTTGATGAGAAGAACCCTCGTCGTATTTTTGAAGGTGAAGCACTTCTTCGTAGGATGAATAGGCATGGACTTTTGGATGAGAGCCAGAACAAGCTCGATTATGTCTTGGCTTTGACTGTTGAGAACTTCCTTGAACGCCGCTTGCAAACACTTGTGTTCAAGGCTGGTATGGCCAAGTCAATTCACCATGCTCGTGTGCTGATTAGGCAAAGGCATATCAGGTACAGACACTCTATTTCCTGCCTTAAAGAACCCTGGTTTGTATTATTTTGATTTGCAGTTCATCTCAAATATTATTGATCTGGTTATAAACCAGAGTATTGTGTTATGTAGCTAAATTGGAGTTGGTAGCATTATGTGGTTGGTTACAGAGTTTATGTTTGATCATTAGATCGTTCATTGAAGCTGCTGTCATATTTTACTGCTTGATTTATATCTGTTAATTGTTATGTTTCATTCCATTGTTGTTACTTTCTATATGTGTCAGCTATCCCTTGAATGAATGTGCATAGCTATTTGTTTAAAAGTATGTTTGTCAGGCTTTTTCACTTACAAACTCCTTCCCTCTGCTCTAACACTAATGTGATTTATGTGATTGACTTTTAGAGGTAGATATGCAATAATTGTTGCTACATCAAATCTCTAGACTGAATGTTGATTGGTGTTTTTTATGGTAATTGTTGATCCTTGTGTCCTTGGGTCTTTGTATTGGCAGAAGGATGCCACTTTGGCTTCTTGCTTGCAAATTGTGAATAGTTGCCCCATGTTTTTGCATGTTCTTTCATGCAATGTCTTGTTTGAGCTGTTTCATATTTCTAGCCTACTTGAATATATCTGTAAGCATATTCTTTCATTGCCTGAAAGATGTTATAAATGCCTTTAAATGTTGTATCCTGATGTTTCTTGTTTCCTTGATAGGGTTGGGAGGCAGGTGGTCAACATCCCATCTTTCATGGTGAGGGTGGACTCTCAAAAGCATATTGACTTCTCTCTCACAAGTCCATTCGGAGGTGGTCGCCCTGGAAGAGTGAAGAGAAGGAACCAGAGGGCAGCTGCCAAGAAGGCTGCTGGTGGAGATGGTGACGAAGAGGAAGATGAATAAACCTTAGGCTAATACCATCATTAGGAACGATAAAAGGTCATATGTTTGAAACTCGCTCCATTGTTAGACATGGTTTGATTTTTATTTGCAGTCCTTTGTTGTAGTGGATCTTGGTATACGTTTTGCATTTACTATTCTGTTTTTGCCGGATTTGAACCTAATTGAGTAATTGTGTTGTTTTAAGATTAAAAGATTTTAATTTTGACCATATGTACTAGCTTAGCTCCATTTTGATAAATGTTGGTATATAGCTTACCCAAAATCGTAATCAGGTGGCTATCTGAGGCTTGTTGTATATCGGGATAAATTAAGAATTCATGGCATCTTAGCACTACCAAATTTGGGTGACATAATTGTCATGTAATGAATAGCATTAAGGATTTTTGTAATCTTTTAATCTGGTTTGTGGGATGAAATAAAAATAAAAAGGGTTGGAATAGTTATTATTTAGGAATACAACAGAGAAGATAATGTCTGTTTTGATGTATAAATGAAATTATAATTTTGATATTATTTTAATATTTTGTTGGTAAAAATAATTTATAACAAAGGAAAAAGGGATTAAAGTTTTTTTATTATAATTTAGTAATTTTACACAATAAGTATAGGTATTTTTTGGCATAATTATTTGAAGTTTTATTTTGTGAAATTTGAAATAGTCAATATCATTACTTATTTTGTATTTTTAAGGGATGGCCATTCTTTGAAAATGATTTTTTTTTTTTTTTTGCGATATAAAAATCTACCTAACAAACTAATACGTTTGATCTAGCCATTGTCATTAAAGATTTCGTTAGGGGCTTACAGTTACTGAAAAAGGATTTAAAGAAAAGAATGTATTGTGTTTAGCCATTTTGGCCTCCGACCCTGTGCCTTGCAAGCAGCATCGGTAATGGCATCATGATTCGCATGTGACTACCTACCAATTTGAGTATGGGATTTTTCCGCCAAGTCTTTTCTATCCAAAACCTATCCAGAATTTCTTCAGATGAAAGCAATGCTCCAGTATCTATAAACACTATTTATACAAAAGTTCATTAGTCTAAGCAAAATCCATTTTCTTTGTCAATTGTAAAGTATTTTAAGACTAAATTTATGAATACACTTTTAAAGTCACTCCAAAAAATAATTAGATTCAAACCATATATTAAAATTAAAATAATTGTTATCATATTTAATTTGGTGACAGTTTTTTGGAATTTATTGGTAACATGATGGTGCGTTCATATTAAGTTGTCCACAACCAAAAGCAATGGCTCAATCCTCCAAAATCACAAAATTAGCCCACCATCAACAATCCAAATACTATTTTCTCGCCACCTGTTCCCCCTCATGGGCCGAGCCTACCTCCTAATCCCACGCCTCTTAATTCCATGCCACCTGTACTTCCCCCAATAATTGCACCGTCGATTTCTGAATCATGCAAGCTAAGTAAGATTTGACACTGACTAATCCCCCACTCTTTTTCCTCCATCTCCTTACTTAAACATTCCAAATAGGACTAATTTATTTTTCTCATAACGAAATATCATCTCCCTCCCTCATGACGTGGCGAAAAATTCGACACGCAAAACACTCCCTGGCTAATAAAACGGCAACGGTTTTTGAACCTTAGGACTTGTCTTCCCAGTCAACCACGTGCTAGACACTCTCCCTTTGCACCCTTTCTCTCACTCTTCTGCCACGTGTCATCCCAACAGAAATTGCCAAACCAGCGAAACTCACCGTTTTATTTTCCTCCTCCCCTCCTATAAATTCCCCCGTCATCCTCAAAATTTCTCCACCTTTTAAAATTAACATCGCAAAAATCACTCTTAACGACACCGTCTTCATGGAGTCGAAGAAGGAGGTGCTGGAGAAGAGTGTTATGGAGGTGGATAGTGGAGAGTCGTCGACGGAAGAGGCGGAGCCGGAGTCGCCGAGGTCCGTGGTGATGGAGATGAAGAAGAAAGTAGAGAGAGTTCATAGTCAGATTTTGAGGATAAGAGAGGAAGAATCGCATCTTGGAGAAGATTTTGTCGGCGGAGATAAGAAGAATAAGAACGACGTCGTCTGTGGAGGAGGTGGTGAAGATTTTCATGAAAAACGACGACGTCTTGTTAACGTGGTAGTTGTTTCGAGACCCGTCTTGCCTTGTTCGCCTCTCAGCGGCAAGAATAACGTTAGAAGGCCTTGGACTGAAGCGACTCCATCAATCAATCAATCAATCAAGGTTCGTTTTCTTGTTGGTTCTCTTTAAACGTTCGTGTTTTCTTTTGTTCTTTTTTTTTTTTTTCAAATGTCTTGATCTGTTTGGATGCTGAGAAGCTTCTTTCATTCTGAATTGTTATTAGATTCTCGTAATCCTGATTTGTATTCTTTTATGGTAATCTTGAATGGCAGGGAGTTTTAAGAGAAGGGTAAGGTAGCCTAGCATGGGGGAAGAGTCGCAGTTTTTAGCTTAGTTTGGAAACGCTTGAAGATTTTTTTTTTAATTAAGCTTTAGTTTTTATTTTTTAATTAGGGTTTAGAACATGTACAGGACATAATTGAATGTATGATGGAATCATTCTACAGCTTAACAAAAAGTAGTGTAATAATATTTTCCTTTTTCTCTTGTTTTCTTGTAAAAATTTTCTATGTTTCTTGTTCTTATCATTATAATAATAAATAAATAAATAAATAACTTTTTTCGGTAGATAATAATAAAAATGATAATCATGCTATCCATCTAAATTGGATAAAGTTTAGAATAAAATTATTGATGGGGTTTTAAGCCTTTAGTTAACAAATGAAGTTTATCTTAGAGTACCAATATTAATCTTAACTCATTTATCCTACTTGATTATCTTTTTAATAAAAGGGATAATAATATATATTAGTTGGTCGGTTGTTGGATTTGGGTAAAGTAATCATCATGCCTTAGCTTGGTCTTTCTTTTTACTAGTCCGTTCCAAAGATATATTTGGCTTGTAGGGAATGAATTTCTCATTGTTATTGTTGCTAATCTTAAGTTGTAAGCTTTGACCTCTGCATATAGAGTAATAATAGTAGTAATCCTAATTATTACAGATTTTGCCTTATGCAATATTTTCACAAGTGCAATAATGTGTAATGATATTGTAGTCCAAGGAAGCTGTTAGTGAAAATACAAGATAATAATGATGTCTGCTTACACTTCATTAACAGTTTAAAAACAATGAAAAGACCTTGCTCTCTTCATGGAAAATGACCTGATTTTGTATCAATTAGCATAAAGTCAAAATGAGCCAAGAAAATATTTATTACTCCTAAATAATTGAGGACTAAGTGGTGACCTTTGTCAATATCTAGCTACTTCCCATACTAAAATCAAGACAATTATCATTCTGCCAAGCAAACTTATCAACCAACAAACCCTGTATAGTATTACTGTATTAGGGAATTAAGATCAAACATGGGGGGCACAAGAAAAAAGAACCCAAAAAGAGAAAACCATGTAAGTCTTTTGCTTGTTGTGCCGTTGGATGGAAACAACAAGGAACAACCCAAAGACAAAGACTGGCATAAATATGTATCTGACAATGAGCTGAAACATATATGTGTGTATATATATTTTTCTGTAAGAGCAAAATTTGCAGAGATTATTGTTGGAGAAGTTGTGTAAGGATGTTTGCATTAATGCTCTTATTGGTGTCTGGAGAAGCCATTAACTCCGATATTCGATTGCTTAAATCATCAACCTCTCCATTAAGCCTCTTAATATGACTGCATGTCTTGTCCAGAAGCTGCAAATAAGAATAAATACAACAAGGAGGAGTGATTAAACAGAACCATAATTTTGATGTTGTGCTATGAGACTAATTAGTTAAGCATCTTCCTCCTCAATTCTTATTATTGGGAACAAGTGCGGAGAAAAGGAGTCGCGTGAGTTGTTGATTCTTACCTTACTTGCATTTCTCTTCTTCTTCTTGTTAGTCGACAACAACTCCTCAAGTTTGAGGCTAAAATCTTCATTATTTTCATTTGCTCGGGCACTTGATCTTTTGCTAGACATTGGCAAGAAGAGTAGTGGTGTATGAGGGAGGAGGGGAGGAGGGGAGGCTGTCTCTTGTTTAGTTTAGAGGGGGTAATGACAATGGCAAACTAGTAGTATTTTTATAGAGGGTGTATGGAGTAGAGGGTGGGCGAGGTTCGGTGGGAAGCATATCAACCAAGATATCTGTTGACATATATGGGTTAGGGCCCATTTGTCCAAAATCTGCAGGACCAGGTTGTCCCTGAACTAATCGGGCTTTTTAGTCTTTGACTCCAGAACATTATTACCATGCGTATGCAATTGACTAAATGATTAACTATTTTAGTAATAATACAACATAATCCTTCTGCATAACTAATAATATTTGAGTGTAACTCTTGACTTACTCCAAGATTCAGCAAGTTATTGATAGGTTTTCGGTGAATTTATTATAATAGGTTTCTTGGTCGGTAATAACAATTTGTTTGGAACTAATTTTCGACCCATAAAATAAGAAATAATCAGTTAATGCACCCAAAAAACAAAGTAAGAAAGAAAAAAAATCAAGTACTCATTGATAATTATTTAAGGTAGTTGTTAAATGCAAGAGTATTTTTGCTAGTGGTTTTGGAATAATTAAGGATGGATTTAATAATCCGTTTTATTTGTTGTTGGTAGGTAGAATAGAGGATTACTTATTTATGTCATATAACAAAGCTTGTATTTTATTTCTGCTACAGGAATATATATATATATATATATATATATATACACACACACACACACAAATATTTTAGGTAAAATATGCTTAATGTTATAATCTCATAAAATGACATACTCAAGGGATTTTTATTCCAAATAATAATACATGATAGTGAAGTCAATTCAAAGTATGTGCGCTCAAGGCAATAATCAGCCCAAACATGTTGAAAATGTGATAGTGGTACTCTGTTTTATTCAGAGTGCATGATCAAATCAGTCCAATAATTTTTCACATGCAGAATAACTGCTTGATTGTTGGGAAGTAGTACCTAATAATGACTTTGAATCTTAAATCTCTGTGTGGTATCTGAGACAACAAATGACTTGGAGGGGTAAAGCTGAAGCTTAAATCTGATCATTTTGTCTCGCATGAGGTTCATCATTCTCTTTTCTTCCTCCTTATTTTTTGTACTGATCATTGTATTGACAGAGCCCGTTTCTTCTTTTCTCAACTTGCTCTCTCTTTTCAGGTCTATAAATCAGTACAATTAAGGAACTTGCTATAAGTTCAAGCAACATGGCAAATCCCAACTTCACTTGATTACTTAAAGTATCCACATTTGAGCATACATTAAAGGAAACATTGATTAAAACTTGTCTTTTGATACTAGAAGAAACAAGACAAAATAACCAATGAGTACATTGGCAGAATAACACTATCCTCTCTCCACACTAACACAGAAGCCTAGTACTCATCGCCTTCATCTTCATCCCCTTCTGCACATTCCGCGCCAACTTCCTCATAATCCTTCTCAAGAGCAGCCAAGTCCTCTCTAGCTTCTGAAAACTCACCTTCCTCCATACCCTCACCGACATACCAATGCACAAATGCTCGCTTGGCATACATCAGATCAAACTTGTGATCAATCCTTGAGAACACCTCAGCAACACTCGTTGAGTTAGAAATCATACAAACTGCCCTTTGAACCTTGGCCAGATCGCCACCTGGCACCACGGTAGGAGGCTGGTAATTGATACCACACTTGAACCCGGTTGGGCACCAATCCACAAACTGGATGGTCCTCTTAGTCTTGATTGTTGCCACTGCAGCGTTCACATCCTTGGGCACCACATCACCTCTGTACATCAAGCAGCAGGCCATGTATTTCCCGTGGCGCGGATCACATTTGGCCATCATGGAAGATGGTTCAAAAGCACTGTTTGTGATTTCTGCTACTGATAGTTGCTCATGGTAGGCCTTTTCAGCAGAAATAACTGGTGCATACGAAGAAAGCATGAAATGGATTCTAGGGTATGGGACTAAATTGGTCTGAAATTCTGTTACATCTACATTCAAAGCACCATCAAATCGCAGCGATGCAGTCAGGGATGAGATAACCTGGAAAATTTTAAAACATTATCAATACTACAAGTATACCCGAGGCCAATAAACTCGAAAAGAAATTCCAAATCCAAATTGTATACCTGAGAAACGAGCCTGTTAAGATTGGTGTAAGTAGGTCTCTCAATGTCAAGAGATCTTCGACAAATATCATAGATAGCACTGCAACATCAGTGTGCTCTAGGAGGGAGTGGGTTGACAGAACACTGTTGTAAGGCTCTACAACAGATGTAGAAACCTGAGGAGAAGGGTAGACAGTGAACCCGAGTTTCGATTTCTTGCCATAGTCCACAGAAAGCCTTTCAAGAAGCAGAGAGGCAAGACCAGATCCAGTTCCACCACCAACAGCATGGAATACCAAAAACCCTTGAAGCCCAGTACAGTTATCTGCTAGCTTCCTGATCCTGTCAAGGCACAGATCCACTATTTCCTTGCCAACTGCATAAAGAAAAATGAAGTCCAAGTTAGTTCAGAGGATGCAACGGAAATTGGGAAAACATTTCTCAATATATCTCGTTAATCAATGATCAAAGGTGCACTTTTTTCTTACTTGTATAGTGGCCTCTGGCAAAGTTGTTGGCAGCATCTTCTTTGCCACTAATAAGCTGCTCGGGGTGGAACAATTGGCGGTAAGTCCCGGTCCTAACTTCGTCGATAACAGTTGGTTCCAGATCCAAAAACACGGCACGAGGGACATGTTTTCCTGCTCCAGTTTCGCTGAAAAATGTGTTGAAAGCATCATCTCCGCCTCCAACTGTTTTGTCACTTGGCATTTGTCCGTCAGGCTGAATGCCATGTTCAAGGCAGTAGAGTTCCCAACAGGCGTTACCAACTTGAATACCAGCCTGACCGATGTGGATTGAGATGCACTCTCTCATTTTTGGTTGTTAGCTGCAAAAAGATTGATCAGTTTCAGAGAGCAGAATGACGCCTGCGGCAACAAAAAGGAGTGAATGAATAGGAAAATATTGGGAGTTTTAAAAAGAAATGGATTGGAAAGTGAACCCTTTGAAACGGCTATGAATTTGGGATTTAAAGGTAGGTATGTGGCTGAAAACGGCTAGAAATTTTGAATAAGGAAATTGGTGGGGGGATCCAGCTCTCTGACCCGACCGTCAGGGGTTGAAATTTTGAAATTCGAATAGTGAACCGCCCATGCTAATTCGTTCCTTTCATATCGGGCTTAGGCATATATGTTTTGGATTGGGTTAAGGTATGTATTAAATTTTTGGATAAAACACTTCATATTTTTAAGTTTTAATCTAAATTTTAAATAAATTTATTAATTTTTAAAATAGACGTTCGGTCTCAAAAATACAAACACTGTTAATTACATCCAATACTTTTCACCTTTTATTAGTTCTTATACTTTTCACAAATTTAAAAGATAACTCATCTATAATGATTATATCAACTAAACTTCTCTTAATTACATCCTGATTAAACTTCCAACTACCGAAAGACCCATTTCCTCTTAATAAAAAAATTAATTCCATTTGATTACTCTCCTCACTAGCACTAAGTATTTTTAACTTGAGACAAGCCTTAGCATAATTATTTAAAGAAGATGCTCTTTTTTTCTTTTTGTATCAACACATAAAATCTTATCACAATGACTACCTCTAGCCTTATGGTTACCTTTGTCATTAACAAATTTCGTGAAGTGATCTCATACAAGCGAGGATATCTTTGATGGTTTTTTTTTTCTTCTGCGGTTTAGAGCTTACTATTTCACTTCTTGCATTACCTTCAGTATCACTTGCATCAATATGAGGTGTAGATGTTGAGTCATTAGTTGTCAAATTTATATTCTTTTCAATTTCATTTGACATCTACAAAAGAAAAAAAATCATCATATAAGCAAATTTGGTATACCAAAGTGAAAAAGAATAACAGAACCAAGTATAAACAAAACAAAACAAGCAAAAAAAATTGAAAAAAAAATATTTCTTTATTTAAAAACTTGATTCAATTTTCTCTAAAATTAATATTGTAAGTATTAATTTAAAAAATCACTTACTAAAGAAAATAAATAACTTATAAGTTGAAAAAGAATTGATGGGCCAATATAATACTATTTATAATAATTCCTATACCTTTTATCATTTTCTAATTTATCATAATTTAATGGAGCATAATATTATATTAGTTTAGACAGCTGGGTATTTTGCTTACATTAGATCAATTTTACTTTAAGCTTTTAAAGGTCTTTCACCTTTGTTTACTTTAAATCTAAATCTCATTAGATAATTGATAAGGCTTGCTGCCTAAATTAATTTTGATTTATGAATATGAAAATAGAAAAATTAATGTATTGGTTGATATCTTTTTTTGTTTTAAGATTAATATCTTGAATTTGTTCTTTGATTGATGTGCCCCTTATATGATTCATGTCTTTTTTCCATTATAAGAGGTTAAACATGCGATTTTAATTTTTTAACACACAGATTAGAACTTAATGAGGGTGTGGCATGAATTTATTTGTCAAAATCTAAACATTTTTGTGATTTATTGATTAAGTTTTTTAAGAACTTACAAATAAAACAAAATTTCTTGGAAAAAAAAATCAATGTAAGTAATAATTTGGCCAATGATAGTATGTTATAAATTATATAGAGACTTAGAAATAAAACTTTGCATTGAAGTAAAAGTTGTTTCATTTGGATAAAAGATAATAATGAAAGGAAGAACGAACAATAAATTGATGAAAGATGCAACTTTGAAATTGAATTAGAACAATAAATTGATAACAAAAGAAAAAATAAATCTTTTCAAAAACCAAATAATTAATTGAGTTTATTGAACTGCTTTTTCAATTAAAAATTCTTACCCAATATCTAATTTTAATTTGTATTAAACATGTGAAGTGTACAAATGAAAAATGAAAATAATTAAATACAATAAATAATTAAATACAACAATCAAACCAAACTTGCACCTCACAACCTTGAACCTTAGCAACAAATACCATCACTATAATTTAAATAGTAGCACTATAATCCAAAGAAAGACTCCAAAGCTATAACTCGGCATCAAGCATCAGTAAGACATGAGAAAAATATACCTTGAAAATGAGATGATAGCAACTTAGCAAAAGATGACCCGTGGTGAAGAGGACGACGCCGACGAAGAGGACGGTGTTGACATTGGTAGGAGAGTCATTGGAGATGGTAGCAAGGCTCGGCAATGGAAAGACTAACTTATCAAGGCAAAGAAAAAGGTTTTTAGGGTTTCAAAGGGGGTTGATTAATAGAGATAATGTTAAAATTAAGGAGGGGAAAGTAGCAAAAGGTGGATTAATGGTGGTATAAAGGGAATTTCATTTGATGGCTCAATTTTTTGATTAGTTTCGGTGGGGAGTAAGTGTCCTCAGTGACCAAGTGTATTAACTCCCTTATCCACTAGTTAAAACCGATACCACAATTGGCACTGAAAAATCGAGTCAATTGTGGTTGCCTACGTCGGTTCCGAACGGTTGCACAATTGTAATCAACTAGTTGTTCACTCTTACTTAAGAAGCCCGGATCAGGCTCCCTTTGAGGAGCATTAGGTCGGGCTCCCCAACGAAGCTTCGAGGTTTTTTTTTTTTTAATTAATAAAAAATTATAATAAAATTATATAATAGTAATTGTAAAATTAATTAAGGATAAAATTATCTTTTTACCCTTGTCATGTTAACAAGTTGACAAAAATACTAATAGTTGATTAATGACTGAACTTACGTTGTAGTGAAAATTTATTTTTTTGAGGTGAGGTGTCCATTTTGAAAACTTAAAGACTTCGGTGTAAATTTGATCAAAATTTAAAAGATAAAGGGTATTTTATCTTAAATTTTTTGAATTAAATAAAAATTTTTGGTTAAAATTAATTCAAAAGTAAATATTTCAAAAAAATATTTTTGGTTAACAAAATTACCTTATTTATATATGAATCATTTATAAGTTGTAACATATATACTAATATAAACATATTATAACAGATGTTTTAATATATATATATATATATATATATATATACACACATATATAATATAAATATTTATATTATTCTAACATATATAATAATATCATAAAAATTTTTAATTAACTTGATTTTTAATTGATCTAATTATTAATTTTAATAATTATTATTTGATATAAAAATAATTTTATTAATTTTCATTAAATTTGTTAACTTTGTGCATGTAAAATATGTTGTTGGGTTGGGAAACGGGCAACGATCTTTTGTTATTTGTCTCGATGGGTTAATTATTGTTTTTCCTGGATTTTGAACCCAACAGGAAACTCAGAGCCCACTTGCCTAATTCCCATTGTCATGTCAATATGGGCCTTGAATGACTAATTCTTTGGGTTCAGATCCAGTGCTCTGATGGGCACTTATGTTCTTTTTGGGCCTAATGAGGGACTACAATGTTAGTCGTTATTAGTCCATGCCCTAGAGAAAAGACGGCACCTTAAAGATTCTAAAGAAATCTCTACCTTAATTAAAAACAATTAAATCCCAATTTTTTTTAAATTAAACATCAAAGTGATATTTTAGGTTTGGAATGTTACAAATTAAAATGAGTTAAAATTAGTATAAATGCCCTAAACTCTATCTACAAGCCATTTCACTTGCATGCTGGATTCATCTGATACTTGAGGTTTGAATGGAAGGTAAAAACCCATGCTGCCTTTGCGAGGAGGGAACAGCTTACCCGTACAGCCTTCTTGGAGGCAGCTAAAAACCAAGTTTATGGCAAGAACATGGTGGAAAGCAGATTCTTACTTTGCGGCCATGCCTAATAATTAGTAGTAGCAAATTTAAAAGAAAGAGGGAATATTATAACATTGTAGGGGGATCTCTTTTGCCTTTTAGCCCCATTCCCCGTTGATGTTTATCATACATATGCTCTGTCACGCCTCGGCTTTAATCTGTAACTTAAGTGCCTTGGCAGAAAGTTCAAAAAGGGCAATTTGCGGATTAGGCGGCTGCACAAAGCCGGATCACGCACAAGAGCAGTAACCCTTTGGAATCATACGCCTACGAGTGTAGCTCTTAGTGACGCTAAAAATGTTGACTTGAGATAAGACCTAAACGTCTACTTTTTAGGGTTGAAGATCAAGGAATACTAACAAAAGTTATAGCAGGATTCAGTAGCTGTGTAAATTGAGGCCCAATGATGCATATGATAAGGAACTCCGCTATGTTCACTTTTTGGTACAGCCCAACATGGATGCCTGCCGACCTTTGCAGACATTGGACTGAGGCCTGTTACAAAGATTAGATTCCTTTGTTCAAATTCCTGGCGTAGTAGCCAGCCACTCATGAGACTTACCATAAATTAAGCTTTTCATATGTCATAAAGTCACCTAATTATGTAGTTCAATGATTATTCATTATTTGCTCTTGTAATCTAAGAAGAGCCCCAAAAGGTTAAGCTATTTGTGGTTGAACGATTAAGATTATGACAGCTGCATGGGGGGTTTATTTCTCTGTTGGAGATGGACCCAAGTAAATTCCTCTGCATAGTTTACAGGTGCAATTTTCCCCTCCCAAGTCTCATGTTCATGGCTAACATAATTCGGCACATCATTTCACTCTCAGGTCTGTGAGTTGGACGACTCATTCCAACCGATTTCCATGAGGATTTTGCCATTATTTCTCTTTTGTACTTGCATCAATTTGTTAGGAAAACTCATTCTTCCTTTCCCCATTTAAGCAGGGTATCAACAACAACCCAAATCCGTTGGGTTAGATAAAGAGGATTCTATTATTTTCCTGTGACAAGTTTTTTTGTAAAGAAAAGATTCACTATTATGGAACTTTAGGACGGTTATGGTCAGATCAAAAAAGAATTGTCCAGCATTAGTTGTGCCTCTTTTAGCCCTTTTTGTTTTCCTTTAATGGGAAAGGAGAGAAACAGATATGGTATGTTTTGTGTAATGACTGATTCAAAGGAGACATGAATGCACTCTCCAGGGTATTCCGAAAAACAGATGATAAAAAAAAGCAGACTGACTAATCATTCCATGTTTACTGGTGAGATGTGTAGGCCAGTTTTAGCTAAGTGGTCTTCTCCATATCAAGCTGTATCAACAATAAAGCGAATGATCATGGATTAGTTGGAATTGCTCAACAACCCCATTTTCAACAATCTTATTTTATACAAAGTTATAGCTAATTAAGCCTAAACTCCCATATGCGGTCCATAAACTTTTGAACCTCGAGCTTAGACCCTGACTGTGGTCCATCACTTCTCTTTCTGCTGCAAGCTTTGGTTCTATTCCTTTTTCTATTTTATTATGAAAGACTATTCGCAGCTATCAGCAACTCCAGCTTCCAGTTAGGCTTGCACAATACTTTTGATCAAAACCAAGTCATCAGGCAAGAGGGTTCCATTTAAAAACTTACCTGACCTTCTTTCATGAGATCAAAAAAAAAAAAAGATTACCCTTTTTTTCAGATTTTGAAACAAAATTCTCGTACTTAAATGCATTCAATACTTTTAAAAAAAAGAATTGGCATGAAACGAGACATAATTTTGAATTCAATTCTTCAGTTAATTAATAATCTAATCATAGATATTACTAATTTTTATTGCGCAGTGATGTTGGTACAAAAAATTTTACTCATAAAATACTTTTCTTCATCCAAAAAACCTATTATTGTAGATTGATAGAACTGATTGAAGGATTGTTAATGTACATACCGAAGCTGCACAAGAACATCTGAAGATAAACCTAAGCACATTATTTTGGAAGAAGCATATCACATGCCTACATAGTACGAATTGTTATTAAAACATAAACTAGGACCAAAACCACTCACCAAAACGGATCTAATGTTCCCAAAAGAGCCTACAACACAACCAAGGCCACTTCATCTCATTTATAAATCCTTATGGCTCCAAAACAAGTTGGCTTTGTTTTTATTATATCGCTGATAATAAAACTTTTAACCCTAACTTTGGAGCCATTGGGGGCCAAAGGATGCACACAAGTACATTCATGTGCTGAAAGAGTAGCCGACCATCTCCCTCCTCTTTGTGACCTTGATCGGACTTTTTATCACCAAGCATCTTCTTAATTAGTTTATCATTAACTTTTTGATTACTAGGAATTAAGCTAATAAGCTTCGCTCATCAAAACTTCTCCCGTTTTGTCAGTGCCCTTAACTTTCTTAAGCATTGTCACATGGATTAATATCAAACATTGGACACGAAGTCAAATTATTAGAGAAAAACAAAGCGTTCCATAATTTATTTGAATGGATAGTTTAGGCTTTATTATGTAAACAGGATGATAGGTGAAACAGGCTTACCATGTAATTAATTTATTAGTGTTTGACACTAAATAATTAAGGGTTAGTTCAAGTCCTAAGACGCTTGACTAATGACTATGTTTGGCACTACACATGTTAATTAATTAGATAAAGACTCAAATTATAGAGAACGACGACAAAATCATAAGATAATTTGATGGGATAGTTTAGTTTTTGATATAACCAAGACGATAAACAAAACAAGATCATCATATACTATAAAATAGTTTTCTATTATTTTACATTAATTAAAGGTTAGTTGAAGTCCCAAGATGCTTGACTTTGTCTGATGCTAATCATATCATTTAAGAATTCAACAATTCCATGGTTGAGCTTTGCAATGTGGGGTTAAACCAATCACTACAATTGTAGGGAAACTTTGTAATTCAATAACATGACTGAGGGGCCATTTAAACCTTTAGGCTGTTGACCCTTTTCCTTGCTTTTTCTTTTCTTTTCTTTTCCTATTTAGAAGTTTTTGTCACCAAAACAAACATTATTTATAAGACTATGAAACTGACATTCCCTGTTTGGGCCACAAAAAGTTATGGAATTATGAGTATGACAGTCCTATTTCTACTTGTATGGCTTCTTACACTCTGGATTTTGAAAGCATGCAATTTTTAGAGACATGAATCAAAGCTAAATGTTTACTTCAAAGTGCTGCAATTTTATGAAACTTCCAGAAGATTTCAGCTATCTTCCTCCTTATAAGATTGTTACATGTTTATTTGCAAACTGTCTGAGCATAACTTGACCTAAAATGGTGTAAATTGTTTTAAATTTTTTCCATAATTATAAACAAAAAAAAAACACCAGCTTAGAAGCATTTTGCTGGGCCACCCAAAGCTGGTTAGGCCTGAAGTGAGTCATCAGAACAATGGGCTGAAGAACCAAGCAGAAGCAGGCAAGCAGGTTGAGCTCTGGTCTAGCCCAGCAAGGCCAGCAATTACATTTGAGATTGAGGGTGATATGATTTGATTTTGATCCCAAAAAAGCACCAAATGATTTCTGATTCCACCATGGATGTGACTTGAAGCACGATTGGCGAGAATACTTTTGTACAAGCGGGCGGGTGCTGATGTAGAGTTACATTTTCAGTTGTGACATGTCTTGTTAAAAGGTTGCAAATTGAGGTGATGAGCAGGGGAAACGTTTCTTATTTGATTTAGCCACCTTACCTACTTCTCTATTACGTGGCAATTTTCCCAACCTATTGCTCTGCTCTGTTCGTCAGAGGATTCATCTCCCCTGTCCTTAAACACTGCCTAAATTCCTCCTTGACATGCTGATAAAGAGGCAACTAATTTGTACCATTCATCTTTGGAATGAAAGCGTTCCATTTCTGCACGTATATTCATGACACTGTTTTTTAACCATAACATAGAATGACACAAAATGTATTAAATAACCAAAAAAAAAAAACCTTGGTTATATGCATTTTTATCATACCCAATTAACTTCTTTTATTTTTTATTTGTACTCAAACAAGACCCTAAGCTTCTATTTTACCTAAACAAATTTTTATCTCATAATATATATATCACAAATATTATTCTCAGTGCCAATTGTCACTTGCTATATACGTGGCATATAACAAGGTTCAAAGACATCAGAAAATGGCTGCTTATAATATACAATTAGAGTTGATGATGTCGAATTTTTGGTTGTCGGTGTGGCTGTTTTCCCCTTTTAGTCACCACATGTCAAAGATTGATTAGTTGGTTAAAACATGCATTTAGAGTAAAATTTTTTGAGGATATCGATTTGGGAGGCTAAAACCAATTCTAATTATCTTTCTTGTTGAAATTGATTTGTCTCTTTATCCTTTGTTGAAATTGATTTCGATTCTGAATTTGAAAAAAAAAAACCCCAAATCTTTCTTCTGTAATTATCAATTTTGATTCTTATGTTACGAAAATGTCTTCAACCTTATTTCATTCGTTTTAATTAGAAAAAAATAGAGAGTCTAAGTGGAATAAATAAATGCAAACAAAAAATCTTTTTTGTCTTACTTTTATATAGTGCTAAGTTTTGCCTTAATTGATTAAGGATTCATGTTAATCAGTTAATAATGTCCTGTTTTCGCTAAATCCTTTTTTCTTTCTTTTTTTTAACTGATTAACCCATCTTTTAAGTGAGCATGCTTCTTGATTTGCCTTTAATCATCAAATTTATTAAAGGAATTGAGCTTTATCTAGTACACTTAAATAGTAATATTAGACATCAATGACAAAGAAATATTTTGTTATCATAAAAACCATATGGAGTCAACTATGATAACATTTCCTTCATTAGATGCAAGAGACAATTAAAATAAAACTTGCTCATGTTAAAATTTGACTTGACATTCAATAGTTGTGACACAACTGGTAGTTTTGTATGCTTCATGTAATCGAACCACAATGGTGCATTCGCGTCATTTAACAATGAGTTGAAGCTTGTAACATTTGAATTAAGATCTTCTTCATGAACCACCCTTTCATTTTCATGCTTGACATTGAATTTAAATCTGGATGTAATGCATCCATAACCATTTAAGTATATAGATTTTCAACTCTAACTTCATTCACTATTTCTTCAACATTATCATCATGACTTCTCTATAATTGTCCGATATGGAATAATTCATTATGTGAATCCTATATTCTGTATGCACTAGTGAAACCTCTATGGATAAGGTGCTTCTAATCCTCATCACCAATTGAAAACTTGTTATTCATACATTGAGAGTAAGGGCATATAATATTATTTCAACTCACATATATATGTTGATTGAAGGTTAAAGAAATGAATTCTTTGATGTCATTTTAAAAATTCATTTTTAATGAATTCGCATTCATTAAGTTGAGAATAAATCCAAGATCTCTCTTGTTCCATTTTGATAACCATAAAAAACAGATGATGTTTATTATAGAATGTTAAAAAAAACACGTTAATTAGTATAGCTATTACTTCCTTCAAATTTTGATCGATTTATAAGAAATGCTTTTTGTCTAATTATTGCTATTAGTATGAAATTTACAAAATTAATTTACAATATGTTATCTACAATATTAATTTATATAATTAACATTTTATAAATTAAGAATATTAAATTATAAAAGTTTTATAAAATTTAATGACATTAATTACTAAAAATATTAATTATTAATTATCAACAATAATAATTACATAATTATATAATTTTGTTATGAATATTTTATGAATATCCATTTATGTTATCTATATCTAGATTTGATGTAAATCAGATTAGATTAGGATATAATCCATCTAATTTCTAAGTGTTATCCTCATCTTGTAAAGGGGTTATTTACCAATAAATAGGCCCCTTTAGTTCATTTGTATACACACACTTCAATAAGATTTCTTCTATCCCTTAAGTACTTTCTTTCTTCTCTTTAAATATTCTTTCAAGTTATTTTGTTTGTTCTCATAAAGTTATTATTTTCATAATACATTATCAGTACAATCCTCCAATCTGTCACCCTCACCTTCACCCTCAAGCTTCACAAAGTCGACAATCCTATAATCTCTCACCTTCACCCTCAAGCTTCACAAAGTCGATGATCTTATAATCTCTCACCTTCACCCTCAAGCTTCACAAAGTTGACGATCTTATAATCTCTCACCCTCAAGCTTCACAAAGTTGAAGTTCAATTTTTCTTTAGGTAAATTTTTTTATTGTCATTTTATTGTTTTGCCCAAATTTTATCAATTTCTAATAAATCAATTTTCATTTAGTGTTTTTCATTAGCCAATTAATTATTTTGCTTGCCAATTACGATATTGTGTAATACTAACATTTGCGTTCTTTTTTTAAGCTATTACAATGTCAAATCTTACAAAGCTTGAATTTGTGGCTCTTGATATTACTGGCAAGAATTATCTATCTTGGATTCTAGATGCTGAAATCTATTTAGATGCTATGGGTCTTGGTGACACAATCAAAGGAAAAAATGAAGCATCAAATCAGGATAAGGTAAAAGCAATGATTTTCCTTCGCCACCATCTTCATGAAGGATTAAAAATTGAGTATCTCACAATAAAAGATCCTGTCGATCTTTGGAAAAGTCTAAAGGAAAGATATGACCACCAGAAAATAGTAATTCTGCGATTGCAAGATTTTAAAACTGTAAGTGAGTATAACTTAGCATTATATAGAATCAGTTTTAAACTAAAATTGTGAGGAGAAAAGGTGACTGATGCTAATTTATTAACAAAAATATTCTCTACTTTTCACGACTCAAATGTGCTCCTGCAGCAGTAATATCGTGAAAAAGGCTTTAAAAGATACTCTGAACTGATTTCATGTTTCCTTATGGTTGAGGAAAATAATGAGCTATTGATGAAAAATCGTGAATCTCAGCCAATTGGTTCTGCTCCATTCCCTGAAGTGAATGCGACATCATTTAGAAATTCTGACCGTGGTTGTGATCGTAATCATGGTCGTAATTGTGGACGTGGAAAAAGTCCCCATAATTACCACAGTCGTGGTGGTTACATAAATTATTATTCTGATAATAAGAATACCCACCAGAAGTGGATGAATAGTGAAAAGATACAAGAAAAGGACAAAGGTGGACAAAGTAAAAAGAAAATAGAAAATGCTTGTTATCAATGTGGCATGAAAGGTCATTGGTCACGTACCTGTCGTACACCAAAACATCTTGTTGAACTTTATCAAGCATCACTAAAAGATAAAGGAAAAAACATTGAAACAACTTTTGTTAAAGATAATAGCCAAGTTGATATAGCACACTTGGATGTTGTTGATTTTTTTGCCCACCCTAAAGGACGAATTGATCATTTGATTGGAGATGAGAATCCCAATAATGAAATTGTTTAAATTATTTATTGATGTGTTTTAGTACAACTTTATTAGGAACTTGGTATGTTTAGTATTATTCTATTAAGAA